GAGATCATGCCATCAGAAATTGTCCACTACTCCTGAGGCTTTTATCCTTTCTATGAAGTATCAAGTAGCTTGCTACAGTGCACAAAGACAGGCTGCATGTTTGTTGAAACATAACCCTGTGTTGAATAACAGTCTTTAACCGGTGTTTTGGCAAGTGCTGCTTCTATATTTTTCTGTATAGAAATAAACACTTGGCATTCCTAGAAGGGAATTAGTACGGTATCAATAAAAACATAGTGTCAGGGGCGGAAAAAATTGCTTTGTCAGTGGGAAGGTCATCTCATATGTGTGATTTGCTTTTTGCTCAGTAGAAATCAGGTTAGGGATACGACAAGATATATAGCACAGTCTATACCGAAATAGGTTGTCTTGAATGTTGTTGCCTTGAAGTTTTTAGACTTCTGTGAAATTGCAGTGTTTCCTCTAAATCTGTTCAGTGAGAAATCTCGTATTTTTTAATCAGTGTTTCATGTTGCTTAATTTGCTATTAGTTCAAATATACAATTTCTAGACAAAGCTGCATCTTGGTTTTATAGTACAACCTTGTACTATGAACAGAAGCGTAGTGAAGTGGAAACAATTCAGAAGTACTGTGAAGGTTTCAGCTTACAACAGATGTTAAAAGGACTTACTGGTGCAAGAAGAATGTTTTAATAAGCTAGTAAGTTCCTAGGAGATCTCATGTCCTTCTTGGGAGTGAGGGAGGTTGGATTTCAATAATTTCCGCAAAAACTGCAATTCTGCAGAAGCTTCCTAGGTGGAAATTCAAATAGATAATAAACATCTGTTACTGAGACAGAATCTGAGTAGAGGTGTTCTAAAGTATGGCATGGAGATGTCTGTTCTCTATCCTGACTCTCAAAATCTGCCTTTTTTTTTTTTTTTTCTTATTTAACCAGTCACCATCCCACTTGGATTTCCTATCTTTTTCTACGAGTTAGTACTGTTAGCTGTGTGCGTGTGTATTGGTGCTGTAAAATATACTGTAGCTATGTGCAGCCAGACTTTTTCCCCCAATATGATGAATAGAGGAGAGTAAATAGCCCATGAGATCAAGCCTTAAATTCATAGCATAAGCTTCTGTTGCCCAGAGGCCTGTGAAAAACATTAAAAATCATGCTGAATGCATCACAAACTGAGGAACTGGGGGCTTATTATTTCTGTAGTCTAAATTCCCTGCGATTTTCTTGCATCCAGTTTTCTCTCTCTAGGTTCTGAATGCCTGTATCTTCAATTAAATTTAATTCACCTGGAGAAGTAATTTTTTAAGGAAAAACCCCATATAAATATGAAAGGAGGAAAAAAAAAAAACCTTCATGACCTCTAACTATGAGATTGCATATTTCCACACTGCACGGTGTGGCCCAGGATGAAAATATCTGCTAGGCCAGATATGTTTACAATAAATGAAATTGCGTAAAATTGCAGTGAGAACAGAAAGCAACAGAACTGCTGAAATTGGATCTTGTCTGCGATACTTGGTATTCTTGGAGAGTTTTGATTTATTACATTGCCTCTGGATTTTTCTTTTACAGTCTTGTTTCTTCTCTAACTCTGAAAAGATTGGTGAACTCATGACTCTATTCTTATGGCATGATGATTAAACTGTAAAATAGCTGGCACTATGCCATTCTATTCTGATATGCTTTTAGGGTTTGCAAGATTGAACAATTGTAGAATGCACTAATTAGTAAAATTCTCAGATCTCTTTGAAATCTGGTAAGATTGTCTTAAAAAACAAACAAAACCACACCAACTTGATAGCTGAGAGCTTGGGAGAACTGGGTTTAACATTTTATCATTGAAACAGGATATTTTGAGTACTCTACCAATCTGATGCTTCTTCAGTTTTGCTTCAGCTTCACTTGTTCAGATTGCACATGTGCTATTTTTTTTTTTTTTTCTTAACTGCAGTGTTGCAAAGACAAAACTTAAATCTGCTTTTCTGGTGAAAAGAATGCTTGCCATCTTCTGGAATAGCTTAAGGGCTAGTCTGATGTCATGTTTTTTTCTCTTAGCTTAAGGCCAGATAACTGAAAACACTTAATCGTGTGTTTTCAGGACTTGGTGTTTAGATGGAGGGAGACTGGGGTGTCCAGGTTGGCAGTGGCATCAATAAAGAACTGTAATTTAAAAATAGCAAATTCTGGCCCACATTTCAATGTGTAACACATCCATTACTGCTCTTGAGCTGATAAATGGAAATTTATATCTGTATTATTACAATCATTAGCAAAACAGGAAACCATAAGTATTTGTTAAGCTATTTTGCTGAATGAATCTTTAAATGCCTTGAAAATAGTAGCTGCACTTAATCGCAGATTTGCAGTTAAGTAAAAATGAAACCCAGGCCAGGATCAGAAAGCCACCAGCAGATGGGAAGACAGGACCTGGGAGTGGACTGCAGAGCTGTGGCTGTGAGCAGTTCATTCTGTGACTCCTCTGGCACTTTAACTGTGTCAAAACATGTGAGCCTACCGAGTCTCTTAGTGAAGGTCTGCAGTCCCAAATCAAATTGCTAAGAAATAAATGTGGCTAACTCAGTTTGAGCAGACAATTCTAAGGCAGTGTCACATGGCATGTTCTGGAAAAAGGTGAACTTGCTCTGTCTGCCCTTCAAAGTTTCAAAAAGTTGCAGGACTGCATTACAAGAGACTTGAGGTTTAGCTAATAAACCCTGGTGGGAATGCATTAAGTGAAAGGGCAAAGATAATGTGCTGATCTGGTGTGTAACTGAAGTTCTACATCTTGAATATTATTTCCAAAACAAAGAGCTATGTTTATATAATCTGCCTTTCCTTTTGCTTTTCATTGGCATAATTAGGCTTGTAAGAAGTTGAGGGTTTTTATCACCTCATTTATACTTCAGTGTTCTTGAAGTGTTACGAAGAGTAGTTGTAGGCCCAAGCTCTGCTTTTCGTTCTGGACAGCTATGAATTCACTGAATTGGTTTTGTGGGTCTGTTTTCAGAAAAAGTTGCTTGCATTCTTTCATGTCACGTATGAAGAGCTTTGATGGAAATCAAACATAGGAGTTACAATTTCTTGCCTTGCATTGTTCTGGGCAAAAGTGTTAAAGTCAGCATAGGAAAATGCTGGTTTTTTTGCCTACTTGAATTATGTGCCTTGCTCCCTGATGATGGTATAGTCAGGCCTTTCAGAAAGAGGGACTGCAGGAGGTACCATGCTCTAGAGGTGTATGAATGTGTGGTTAACTGAATCAGGTGGAATAATACAGGAAAGGAGAACATTTAATATCTAACTGCAGAATTCAGAAACTTTGAGTGAAATTTTCAGGTTAAATGTTGAAGATGTGAGGAATGATATTTTGCTTCTTTCTGATCTGTACTGTAGGTAAAAAATTGTATGTTCCTTGTAAATAGTGATCTTAGACTCCATTATGAATACCTTGTGAAATCAAGACCTGCATCTGTTTCTTTGGCCAGCCACTCAGATCAGATGGGTTATGATAATTGTGGCTATTTGCTTAGAAAACTTGCTTCCTTACAGCTGTGCTACTTCAGTGTCTCTCCATATCGTTTTGGAAGGCACAAACAGTAAATGTAACTGACTTCTAGCAGATCTGTCACTTTGTTCTCTAAATATGAAATGAGCAGTGGTATTCACTGAGGCAAATCTAAACAAATCTTCCACCAAATTAAGCCAACTGCATTGCGAAATATTGAGTTAAATGCATTATCTCAGTAAAAAATATGAATGTTTCTGATTTGCAGCTATGTTAAAAACAAAAATGGATTAGGACAAAGGAGGAGCTACTACTGTCACCAGAAAATATTACCAGGAATCTGTTTTGTGATGAGCTGCTTATATAAAATAGGAATATGTAGTTGCTACCTGGAAAAAGTTAAGATCGATGAATTGCAGAATTTTTTTTTTATGGCACAGTAGAAGAGATGGCTATGGGAAGGAGGCTGTAGGATGACAGAGTATATAAAGACAGGCGAGAAGCAAATATCACAGAACAAGAAACTCCACGCTCACGAATTACACTACAAAAACAGATTGAATGAATGGGTGTTTGAGTGTATGTGCTGAGAGAAAAAAGCCATTAAAAGCAGCTGGAAAGATAGCTGCCAGTACAGCTACCAAGTTTGTCCTTAGGTATCCATTGCCTCAGGCAGGTAGAAGACTTTGCTAAGGATTGCAAAACTGGGGAATTATATGGGTGTTTTTCAAGGGTTGTTAAAAGATACTCTTATTTCAACTTATTTTTCTTCAAAAATAGTCTTCCTTTGTCACTACTTCTACTGTGAGGGAGGTTTCCTTTTTTGAAGAATGGCTTCAGTTAGAAGTGCTTAGAAAGTTTAAAAAAAAGAAGTTACAGCTGTACAATAGAACCTCATAAATAAACTTGTCTTTATGTTCATGCTAGATCATAAATGTGCTGCTTGGTAGTGAGCTTTTAAAAAAGAAACTGTAAACTTCTGTATACGAAAAGTTGGAGCTGAAAACTCAGGTTTTTAGAAAATGTGTTTTTGTCTCCACGTCATCGGATAATTAACACATTTGCTCAGTGCTTTATATATAATGCATTTGATTTTCTTACTTGCACTTTATTAAATTACAGTTAGTGGCTGTGTCACATTACCATTCTCCCTTCGGATCTGAAAATCTTTGGCTGAGAAAGCAAGTGCTGCTCTGTAAATCTGCAGATGTCCAATGTGCTGACTTGAGTTGGTGCTCATGATTGCCAGCTCTGTCCCAGCACATTGTGTCATTATGCCAGGGTAAGCACAAGGCTCAGGGTGGAAGACCTGGCTTCTGCTTTGAACCTTGCAAACACCGGTGACACTGGGACCCAGTGACTCAGAACATGCAGCTGTGATACTCAATACAGACTCTGACCAACTTCAGAGTTTGAGCATGAGAAACTGCTGTCCCTGCTGCAGCCTGTATTACTTGTTGAAATATGTGAGAGGAAGTGATCTGTTCAGCTAACAGAAGAAACAAGCTTAAATTGCCATGTTGATTCTTTCCTAGGGTGGTAGAATGGTAGTGTTTTGACACTGCAGTATTTTTGCATCACAGGAATCACAAAGGTAAGGACTTTGTCTCCTGTCTTTACCATGTGCTTTCATGCACCATTCTTGGAGATGCTGGCCCATGAATCATTTTAGTCTTCTGGAATACTTCTGTAACATTATACCTTTGCAAAATGTTTACCTATGTGGTCTGCATAATGGACGCTGTCCTCCTGATGCCCATAGAACTCTGAGTAGGGTTCATCCTGAGTGTGTGCCTTAGATTAGCTGTTACGAAGAAATTTTTTACTCAGAGGGTAGTGAAGTGCTGGCACAGCTGCCCAGAGAAGCTATGGATGCCCCCTCCCTGGAGGCACTCAAAGCCAAGCTGGCTGGGTCTCTGGGCAGTCTGATCTAGTTTTATGTAGGGTGGGCTTTAAGGTTCCTTCCAACTGTTCTATGGATTTTGAGGAAGCCCTAGGGCAGGGACATACAGTATAAGCCTGTGGGCAAAGGCTTTCTGGACAGGTAACAGGAAGTGAAATCAGAGGCATTCATAAGATGTACAGTGAAGCTCTCTTCTGTCCAATGAGTTACTGAAAGAAGCCCCAAGTGCAGCCTGAAATGCCTCATTTTCTTCTAACACTTCATTTCTCGCTGTGCCTTGGTTGGTAGTTTTGGTCTGAAAATTATTTATTGCCTGCTATATTCTACTTCTCTGCAAAATTCAAAAGCCTCAGTGTACCTCTTTAATCAGTACAACTGACTGATTGCATCAACTGAACTGTACAAGTTTCATAAGGACAGTGCCTTTTTGAAAGTGAGTTTTTTTGTCTTTTCAGTTTATGAAATGAACTGGAGTAGCAGGTATTCTTAGATCAGTCAGCAAGTAAAATTGAACTTCTGAGTAACCCTTTCGTATAACGTAAGAAAAGTAATTGGATTGAATAAATCAACCTGCAGCAAACAGCTTCACCAATCTGTCATTTGTATATACTTTTTGAAGCTTAAACCAAAAAAGTTAATCTGGTTTATATAAAACAAAGTAACACCTACATAAATCCCAGTGGGAGACCACGGCTTGCAATCTTTGGGCTTCACAAGCTTGCTTAACATTGTTGATATGTTGGGGTATAGGAAGTGTGGCTTGGTGGTTTTTATTTTCCAGGACATTTGTATTTAGACAAATTTGTATTATTATTATATTTATATAATATTATTATATATATATAATATATAAACTGTATTGTTATTATTATTTAGACAATTATATTATGCTTAAAGGTAAAAGCTAATATACAACATTATTCAATTCTGTGATAAGACCAGTTTAACTACATCTTGGGCTGTGCAGTAACTAATTACCATCAGAGTTGTATTTTAATACCATAGCATCTACAGAATCTTAGGTTCTCCTATAATATGCAAAACACATGTTTTAAATGCTGTTTCATGCCTTTTGCCCTTGCAGATGCTGGGGGTAGAGCAGACTGCTCTCCAAAATACAGCACATGGGATCTTGACATCAAAGCTATGTGGGAGAAAATATCATTTCCTATCTAGCCTTTTAAAGATGCGGTTTGCTGCCATTATGCTGCTAGCTGCTCTGTAGTTGCATTTTTGTATGGTCTTTCTCATATACATCCATTGTGCTCTCTGTCTGCTGGAGGGAATGATGATTATACTTCCCATTCTGAATGTAATCACTCATCTACCACCAATCTCGTTTAGGCCATTCACATTATGGCACGTAAGCTTGGTAACTGGAGGCAGTGAAAGGCTTGATCTTAGTGAGTTACATTTACAGTTCTCTGAAGGTTCTTGCAACTGAGATGGGCAAGATAGGAAAAGGATGGATGGTTTTTGGGGAAGAGGCAGCCTCATACTGCAAGGGATATAACTGCAACCTACTCTGGATCCTGTCTAACCCTACAATTCTGTGATTGTGTTTTTTCACTTCTGGCACCTAAGACAGTCAGTGCAGAGCAAGCTCATGTCTGTCAATGCCTGCCTGATCTGGACATGCCTGAGCTCTCTATGCAGTCTCTGCAAAACCTCATGTAAAAGACACTATGAATTTATTGTTTCTTAACAAATCATATTTCATATATGATTTGAAATAATGTATTTCAAATTATTTGAAGTCACTGTAAATGTTATAAACGGGTACTGATAAGAAACTTCATCCTGACCTTTATCTGCTACAAAACCTGATTTAGCTGAATGCGGTGGTAATATTTGCATCTAAAAATTACTCTTCTGTGTATTAAGGCCAACTGTGAAATTGCTGCCTAAATTCTTCTCAAAGTCTTTGTAACGCCTCTAGAAAGTAAAGAGCAGTTGAGCAAAACCAGAAGCCGTTTTTGCTCTGTGCTCATGTAAATTTTTTATTGAAGTAAATGGTTTATTTATAATCATTATTCACTTTGCATTCAATTTCACCTATTGTAATGGGCTTCTCTTTTAACTTGCATGCTCTGATTTCTTTTGTGGATATCAAACAAAGAAACTGTCCTTTATCTTTTCTGTAGTGGATAGCTGAAATGCCTTTCAACAGCCTTTTAATGATAACAAAAAAACACAAAACATTTCAGCAATTTCTGTTAAAAAAAAAAACAAACAACAAAACAACAACAACAACAACAAAAAAAAAACAACTAAAAATTCAGTCACTGCATGTCTACATCCTTTTGAGATCAATGCCTTCTCAGTGCTTTTTCCCCTCATATGGCTCACTGTGATTGCTTTTCAGATAACCAAAGCATACCTTCTGTAAGTGAAAGCAAATATTAACACTAGGGTGGTAGTTTTCTTTAAAAATAGCAAACAGACACTTGAGCACTCTTTTGTCAGTGACCTTTTCCATAGCCTTCAATAGAATCCAACACTTCCACTGTGTAATCAGGATGAAGAAATAATGAGGTATACATGAAAAAGTTAATGTGATAAGGAAAAAGCCTTTTTATCACAGTAGCTGACAGTGATAACATGAGAAGCAGAAATCTCTTGGAAGTAGGTTTGTTTAAATGAACTTATTGCTGTGTGCTTACACAGTATAGTTACTGCCTGTCAGATTAAGTAAGGATGGTAATGTATGACCTGAGGAACTTAGCATTAATGAAGACTTCATTGCATATCATTAGCTATTTTTCGGCACATTTTGCTTTTAAAATCCTAAATCCAACACGATTTCCTTTAACAACTGTTGGACTGAGCCCCTGCCTTATTGACCTTCCCCCAGCCCTGGTCTGAGATGCATTATTGTGATTCTTTCATGATTTTAGTCCACTCTTTGGATAATGTTTTTTCCTGGAAAGAACCAATGTAAACCCTTCAAAGGAAGAAGCGAGAGTGAGAAGGGCACTTAATTCTCTGTAATTTCTCCACTAGTTCCAATTAACATATACAAAATATCCTCTTTCCTGCATATAGGGAAATACATTCCTCTCCACGTACAAGGATCTATGCTTGCTGGGACTGTCTGCTGTCCTTGGAGAGAGAGCTTTCTCAGAGCACAAACCAGTCTTCGTTCCTTGTGCCTTGTTTTCCTATTTTTAGAGTCTTAGGCTGGCTGTGATGTTTCTTACATTCTTGAACAGAAAGGACCAATTTTGTTGATCTATCTGTTTGATTGTATCTGCTTACATAAGGCTTCCTGCTGATAAGCAGAGGAATGCAATGTATGAAACTGGGCACTGAGAGTGAGACTGAAATTAAGGGTGATGCATTGTGATCAAGGCTTGAATCTAAGCATAGTAACTACTATATTCCTATTGCTGTCTTTAGCATGCATTGTCCTTTTGTAAGAGTTCTTTCAAAAGTCAGCAAAGCAAGCATTATTCCAGATTTGTTTTGATGTTTTCATGTAGTTAGCTCCTGTAGAACTTATTTTGTTTCTCCCTCTCTTTTTCTTGCAAAGATTTTAATGTAATGGTTGATTTAATAGTCTTCTCTTGCATTTTTAACTAGGCTGAATAGTGTTAAGCCCAGTAAAGATTTTAAAGATAGAACTCTTAGTATATAAAGAGGTCTGTTTAATTTTTAAGACTGAGAACATCTGCTCATTACAGTAAATGGAGTTACGAATTTATCATTAAATTCTTAATCTTCTATTTAGAGGATATCCTGGGGGGAAAAACACAATAAACCACCCAAGCAAGATAGTTCATTGTATCCTTAGTGTGCTCACTACATCCGATCATTCTAGACATGCTTGCTCTGGCTATCACAAGTCTATGGTGTTCTTGGACTGGTAATAAATGTCCTGCAGTGTGTGTTGAGTGAGACTGCACTGGGGCAGCAACTGTTTGCCAGAGCTTCCTCAGAAGGATTGTGAAAACACCAAAGATTGTCAGCTGCCATAGAATTTCAATGATGAACAACTAACCAGAAATTAAATGAAATATTTACATAAAACTGAAGCAAGATTTTTTTCTTTTTCATTTCCATTGGTAACTGTTACTTCAGGAAAATCTTGAGTATTGGAGTTACTGTGGAACTTTTATTTAAAGAAATTACAGGAAATTTTGTTCAAAATCTCCGATCAGTTAATAGAGATACCCAGTGGGAGATGAGCAGAACTCTAACAGGAATATTCTAAGTAAAATCTGGCTATTCTATTTCAAAATCTGATTACTAATGGCATTAATTATGTACTCAAGACTTTCTGACATTCTTATGACTGTTTTGATAAGTTCTGGTTGGATATTCTTGACTGCTATGAATTATCCTTTTTTCTATATTCCACTTTGCTATGAGGAAGAAATACAACGTTAGTGTGCCACAGAAGACAACTTTCTTTTGATGCATGTTTTAGGGTTTTCAACTGTGAGTGGAACATGCACTCCAAATTACTTATACTCCAGTGATTCTTACAAAGATGAATGACTGAGCAAAATGTAATAGGTTAGTTGGGGATAAGCAAATATTTATTTTAATGCAAAAATAAAAGGAAATAATACTCCTATTAATGTTGTTGCTATGAAAATGCTGTACTGACTAACAGCGGCTCAAGCTTGTACTTGTCAAGAAGGGTGATAGGGATCATTTAGTTTTTATTCTTCCACAGTAGCTGATAATGGAAATAAAAGCAATGGCTGATGTGAGTTTCAGGAGAGGAGGAAAGGGGAAAGAGCAGAAAATCATCAGCAAACTGGGGAAATTAACACTTAAAGGGATCAAAGAGTGAAAAGAAGCATAGCTAAGTTTTGGTGAGGTACAGCATGTGGGAGTGCTTTTGAGGAAGGTCTTCCAACAAGAAACCCAGCATTTGAAAGCCCAACTTGCATGCATCCAGATAGTTGCAGCAGTAGCTCCAGCCTTATATTCCAGTATTGCTTTTCCTGTCTCTTATCCAGCTCTTGGTCTGTGAGAAGACTTTGCCTCTTGTTCTATGCTATCTACAATTCTTTCTTTATAAAAGGAAATTTAACAATGAGGAATGAAAAGGGAGAAGTATGAGATTTTTTTTTTTTTTTTTGTAGTAATGTAGGGGAGAATAGTAGAAGTGCCATGGACACAATTTCTTCATTGTGCTCATATATAAGCCTGGGAGCTGAGAAGGGATATAGCAAAATTTACCAATAACATGAAATTTTTAAAGCGGTCAGATGAAATGTAACAAAAGTCTCAGAATCAAAAGTTTTGGAAGTGTTGTGTGTTACCATCACTCTGTATGCATGGGTGAGGAACTTTCAGCTACGTTTTACTACTCAGAAAAGATCTTGGTTCAATATTATTTGCTTTATTAAGAGTCACTTCAAGGCTTCTTGGTAACAAAATAGTTACTACACAATAGTAAGGAAGAACAAAACAGAAGATCATATGTTGTTACACCATTTTCATGGAGTAGATTTCATCCAGTTTGAGTCCCCTTTTCTTGTGATAAATTTTTTTTAAATAATGTGGAGGTCTCATTGCTGAAGAGAAGGTAAATGCCAGAAAAAAAGATTAAAAAAAATTATATGCCATGAAGTTATTTAAGTGATAATTTATCCACTGCTTGTCAAAGTACAAGAACTATCCCACAGCCCGTTTACATTAATGTGCAAAGTGGAATTTTTGCATACACTGTCTCAGCAAGATAGTCTACAGGACACCAGATATGAAGAGTGTGATTGTGCAAATTAACAGTAGAAGGACTTCCCAGATACTATTAAATGCAGTACTGCTATCTCTGACTCAGGAACAGAAAACATATCACTCATTTTGCTCTCTTCATATAGAGTCCGTCCTGAGAAATAAAGGACAGAAGCATCTCTCTGGGCAATTATGTTTATCTCCATTTAATTAATTGATGTGAAAGAAAATGAAGAAATATCAAATAACTGTCCTGGTTGATAGATCTAATGATAGTTCTATCTTTCTAAATACTGCTGTCAGGTGCTGTTGCATGTCTGAGGTGAAGTTGAACAGAATAGGGTATTATCTCTAGGCAGTTTTTTTTTCTAGAGACCTGTATTTTTATGTGCTTTGTTCTGTATGGAAACAGCTCAAGTACCTTTAGGAAAACATACAAAGCCTATCTGCATGTACATTTCTGGGTGCGTCAGTCAAATGCTTCCTGGAACTTAAGCATATATTAAGTGTGTACATCAGTGGAAGCCAGATAGCCTGTACTTCATGTATGCTACCTTTTGTTCATACAAACTTCAAATATGCCTGGTGTCCCTGATGTTTGAGCCCAAATCCATGGGGAATCTTGCACTTCAGGAAAGCATGAGGCTGGGCGAGAAGAAACTTGAGCCTCCTTCAGTTTGTGTAGTTAACAAAATACGCAAGTTAGAGATGTAGTCAACGAAATACGTAAAGCGGGGGCTGTCAAGGTCACCAGGCGTAATCAGGCGTAATCTGTGTGGGCCCCTTGTGTGGTTAGCGAATACTGAAAGGGGGCTGTAACAGTCATCAGGCTCTGCGGGGGCTCCTTGACTCATAAGAAAACCATGATGAGACATGGCAAGACAAGACATGCCACATGTCTATTGGACACAGATAACCGTAGCAAGGGTGATTGGTAGCACTGTGATATAAGGGACAACTATAAGAAGAGTGTGTTGCTTGCAATAAGTGCCATTTGCCGCTCACCACATTGGTGTCATAAAAGCGTGTGATTTGGCCGTGGCTGTCTGAGCACTTCACGATGGGACATTAATCAGAGGTTGCCGAAGCAAAGGCAACAAGTTTGAAACTGCTATGGCCACTACCTGCATTGCAGACTGGCTGGACAGGACACATCCATCTGGTCTCCCTCCTTTCTTTGCAGAACAGACAGGGAAATACTCCTTGAATGCAAATGACTAAACGGGGGTAAGAGGGCAAGCTGCAGAAAGGGAAGTGAGAGGGAAGGTCTGAAGTAAACAAATACACATCACAATGCAGAAGTAGTATGGCTGGGTTTC